CTTTATGCACCAAGAGCTTGTAACACTCCAAAGAGAAAGGAAAAATTGTAATCGCATCATATGACCCCTTTAATTTAGGCTACGTCCACACGAAGCCAGAGTTTTCCCTATCCGATCTTTTTTTTTCCCCTCTTCTCAAGGCCCTGGGGGGCAATCCGCACTGTTTCGAGGTCATCACCGCCACCATGGTGTACTACGTAGGGGAGAACACCGGCGGACCCCACCTCCACATCCACAACCCTGCGCTGGCTGCCGGTGGCGTGGGGCTGGAGGTGGCCCAGGGCTGGGAGAGGGCCATCCGCCAGGCCCTGATGCCCGTTCCAGTAACACCACAGCCCAGCGTGGGCGCTGCTGCGGGACAGAGTAAAGATCACAGTGAGTAGCAAAGTCAGAACTCTGTATTTCTTATTTATTGTCTTTTAAAAACATGTGAAGTGAATCTTCATTTTTATCCATGAAGTATAAAAGGAGATATTTAACAGAATGTACATACTGCTGTTTTACATACAATTGCTAAATGTAACACTCCAAAGAGAAAGGAAAAATTGTAATCGCATCATATGACCCCTTTAATTTAGGCTACGTCCACACGAAGCCAGAGTTTTCCCTATCCGATCTTTTTTTTTCCCCTCTTCTCAAGAAATATCTGCGTCCACACGAAACCACGAAACCGACACACGTGGGCTGATGATGTCATCGTTTAAGAAAACATACGGATTCAACCATATGATTAGTGTAAAAATTTGACTTTGAAACTGTTTTCACTCAGGAATTGCTGGTAAATTTCACAAATAATTACAAAGAAACAGCAAGTAACACACTGAATTAAACATGGAATTTTGAAGTAGTGAACTAGTATTTTCTTGTTCTAACTTAGTTTTATTTACAATCTTGAAAAATATGTGTTTACAGTGATAGTTTCAAGCCGTATGAAAAGACCAGGGGTCTCATTTATAAACGTTGCGTACGCACAAAATGGCATAAAAATATGCGTAAGCAGTTTTCCACGCACATATCCGGATTTATAAAAAAATATACTTGCCGTAAATATGTACGCACCGTACTAGACCATGCATACGAACTCATTTGGAGTGAGAAAAGTAATGAAGTAAACGATTTTAAACTCTGTTTTCATTTCGATATGCATTTGCATTAAATATTCCACTCTCATTCATGGAGATAAGCACTGAAATTACAAAAAGTCATTACGCAGAAGTTAAACAAAAAATATATTAAAGGGGTCATATGATGCTGCTACCCAAAATTCCGGATCCGTGTGGACGAAACGCCTATATGATACAAAATTTATGCGTATACAGCTAAACGCGTCTCCGTGTGGACGGGGCCTTAGACATAATGGATGCGCTCGATCACTTTTCCTGTTTGAATGACAGCGAGGAGTGCTGTAGATGCACAATAATTCATATTTAAACTAAACTGCAAATCTCATGGTACGAGAAAATATTTTTAGTGAGAACAATGATCAAAGATACGCACTTACTTCGATATTATGGCGGACTGCTGGATTCAGTGGTCGAACGGTCCATTGTCCAGTTTGAATAGGAACAATGATGATATGATAGTTTACTGTACAACCGCAGCTGCACGGAGGTGTTGATGTCATGTGAAGGCATCTCCACAACATTATGAAAAATGCCACTGTATTTGAAGGATACAGCTTGAAGAAAGTGATACAAATTTGCACATTTCCTTTTTAAAATATTTTCAGTAATACGCCGAGTCAGACAATTGTATTTACACTGTAATAAACATGGGCCTAGCTGTTTCCACTAAAAATAGATGTTCACCTTATCAGCAAAACTGCATAAATTTAATTTGATTTGAATTGTTTAAAACAATTGAAATGCTAGAAAAAAGTGTAAAAGAAAGAGATCAACTCTATTCTAAAATATATCTGAGAACTATTTTTAGCCGTTCTGTTTTTATGAATATTTTATATATTTTTTATAAAACATAAGGATACTGGATAATTTTTAGCAATAAAAAAATAATGTGTATGGCACAAATGGCATTATAGTCCATATCTCATATTTCCTTAAAGTCTCGGTGTTAAACATGGTGTCACGTACATGGAAATGATGTGCAAATGAGGTTATGCATAGTAAAACTAGGCGTTGTAAAGGCCCGTTCACACCAAGCACGATACTATAAAGATAATGATAAAGATATAGTTCTAAAAATCGTTCTCAATATTAAAGAATAGCAGAGTCCACACCACAACTATAACAATAAAGGCACAGAGAAACGATATCGTTGGAATCCCTTCCAGAGCATTTTTTTTCCAGCTGATGAACGATACAAACATTGACAGCCAATCAGAATCCATCCTGCTATAACGAGCTCGAGAATTTAAAGTGGCAGACGCACATGTGCTTAGAATAAACGGACGATATCGTTCGCTGGTGTAGACTCTAATATCATTATCTTTATAGTTATCGTTCTTGGTGTGAACGGGGCTTAAGCCTCATATTTGGTGATTTCAGGGAGGAGTCGGGGTGGAGATGCACGTAAGCACAATCTTCCCCTGACTGGAATTTATAAAGGGATTTTTGCGCAGGTTCTGACGTACGCATGGTTTTATAAATCTCAAAACTTTTGTGCGTATGTAAACTTTTAGGATGAAATCTATGGAGAGTTTTATAAATGAGACCCCAGAATTGTAGATTTTGAACACTTGGCACTTCATGACACATGAAGTTTGACCATAATTTCTCTTTTAGGCAAACTGTCTCTTTAAGGCTTAAAGAGATCACCCAGAAATGAAAATTCTGTCATCATTTACTCGCCCTCAAGTTGTCCCAGACCTGTTTGAGTTTCTTTCTTCTGTTGAACACAAAAGACAGTGTTTTAAAGAGGAAGCAGTCAGTAAAATTTACATTATTTAGTAAACTGATTGCCAATTTAAAAATATATATATATTAGACACGATTAATGTAAGCATTTTAAAGAAAAAAAGGATGTTTTGTGCACAGAAACAATCTATCACAGTGTGCGAGTACCGCATTGAAATCTCTTTCATGCTGTCTTGCGCTTGAATGGCTAAAAACACTTTAATGAAAGTGAAAGTGACGTGACGTGGCGTGGCCAAGTATGGTGACCCATTCTCGGAATTAGTGCTCTGCATTTATCCCATCCAAAGTGCACACACACAGCAGTGAACACACACACACCGTGAACACACACCCGGAGCAGTGGGCAGCCATTTTTTTTTTTGCTGCGGCGCCCGGGGAGCAGTTGGGGGTTCGGTGCCTTGCTCAAGGGCACCTCAGTTGTGGTATTGAAGGTGGGAGAGAATGCTGTACATTCACTCCCCCCACCTACAATCCCTGCCGGTACGAGACTCGAACCCGCAACCTTTGGGTTATGAGACTCGAACCCGCAACCTTTGGGTTACGAGTCTGACTCTCTAACCATTAGGCCACAACTTCCCCTATGTTTACACTGACAAGACTAAACTTTCTTGAGGAAGCAGCACTAGCCCGATCATTTAGACAGGTGATTAGTTAAACACTGGAGCATCCTGTTAACAGCAGGTAAGATCATTGTATTCGCAGGTAAACATAAAATATGCTATATAACACTACTGGTGACGAGCCGGGGTAATGCAAATATGTCTGACATAACAATGCGTCATGAACGATATTGTATGAAGCATTATTTGTTTACATCATATTGTGCCAAAAGTTGGGGCCAGTATGTTTTTTAAAGACATAAATAGTTTTATTCAGCCAGGATGCATTAAATTGATCTAATGTGACAGTAAAGTGACTATTTTAAATGAATGCTGTCATTCAGCGTTGCATCAGAGGACTAAATTAAATTTGAAAATGTATTCAAATAGAAAACAATTATTTTAAGCTGTAATAATAATAATACACAGTATTACCATTTTTACTGTATTTTTGATCAAATAAATGCAGCCTTGGTGAGACTTCTTTCAGAAATATTTTACCAACCTCAAAATTTAGAACAGTAGTGTAATAGTTACATTTAGCGCTACATGCTATTAAAAATTTACAATTATCCAAAAAGACTATAAAAAGTGCACTTTAATTAATTAAAAAGACACATGACCTGTCATGACATAAAATTAGCCAAGTTACTGCTACTGAAAATAATAATAATTTTACTCTATGCAATGATTTTAGCCAGTCCTCCACTTTACAAAGCATAAACATAAAAGCACATCTTAAGAAAATGAGCAACACACAATATTCAAAATACTGCACAAACTGCAGATGTAAGTCAACAGCATGGTCCCGAATGATGTTTGGATGTATGGATCAGCATGTGTGTGATAAATCATTGAAACAGAATGAAGTTGGAAGTTTAAAATGTCCAAACAAGCAGTCATTGATGAAGCAATGGTACAAACTGAGACGGGCGTGAATAGTGACTTTCAGGCAGATTTGCAGCTCTATTCTGGAGAGTAAATGGCTGAGCTTAAGTATTTAATATCCTGATGCACCTCTATGTAATTGTGTTGAGAGACAGAAGATTAAAAAGGTTTGACAGGTCTGGATTAATGAAAGCTGTTTAGTTATGAAACAAACACACTTTTGATTCAGTATTCAGAGGAGATTTCAGCCCAGAGATGAGTGACATACTTAATTAAGGGTTCGTCTGGAGGCAAAACCAACCCAAAAAATAAACAGAAAGAGCACAAAGTGCTTAAAGAATTACTATGTAGCTCACACTTGTCATTTTCAGAGTAATTTACAATTTATTATATATTTCAGATATGATACTGACAAAAATATATATA